CATTAGAAAAACTTGTAAATAGAAAATATACAGAAAATAACCAGACTCAAAATCTATAAAATCTCAATAAATTCCTATGCAATTATAATTGACATTTTGAAGCTATGGGGCTTCACATTGGATTTTACTTTTCCGTATTGAATATATGTCAGTTACCCATTACACAAATTGAAAAATCCATGACAGAGTTAGAAATGAAGACAATTAGTTATATATTGTCATTTCATAACACATAAGATCTTAAATCAAAATAGTTTAAATATACATTTCCCCAATGACTAGGCAAGTTGAACACTTTTAAAAATAGCTATTAGCTGTTTTTATTTTTCTTTCTTTTCTTTTTTTTTTTTTTTGGTCTTTCAAGACAGGGTTTCTCTATGTAGTTTTTGGTGCCTGTCCTGGATCTCACTCTAGACCAGGCTGGTCTTGAAACTCGCTAAGATCCACCTGTCTCTACCTCCTGAGTGCTGGGATTAAAGGCATCTGCCACCACTGCCTGGCTCAGTTTGACTTTCTTTTCTTCAAAACAGTCTATTCAATTCATTAGCTCACTGTTGAATGGCAATTTCATTCCTTTGGTATTTAATTTCTTTAATTGTTCATCAATTCTGAACATTATCCCTTTGTCTTAAGTATAGCTGGTATAGATTTTCTGCAGTTCTTTGAACTACCAGTGTGCTCTGCTGATAGTTCCCTTTTCTATGCTGAAAATTTTTTATGGTTATCCCTTACTGAATTTCTTTTCACAAGTTTCTTGTCTTCTGCAATGTATTGAAGAGTATTACTTATGTTTTCATCAAGAAATTTCAGCATTTCATATTTTAAATTGAGGCATATGATCCATTTCAAATTGATTTTTATACAAGGTGAACAATGTAAATAAAGTTTCATTATTCTGCAGATGGATATTCAATTTTACCAGCAAAATTTGTTGAATAAGCTATTATTTTCAAGGGTATGTTATTTTCTTCCTTTGTCAAATAGTATGTGGAAATAGCTTGTGGGTAAATTCCCTGGTCCTATCCCATGTTCCAGTGATCTATATGACTGTTTTTAATGTCAGTACCAGCTTGTCTTTATAACTATAGCTGTGTAGTGTAATTTGAGTTTGCGTATTGTGATACTACCAGCTTTGTTCTTGATCCTTGTTTTTTTTAATTTTTATTTTATTTTTATTTTTTTAGCTATTCATGGTCATTGTGGTTTCCTATGGCTTCTTGAATTCATTTTAGTTCCTATGAAATGTCACCTAAAAATTTTAATAGTCATTGTTCTAAATATATAGACTAATTTTGGTCATACACCCGTATTTACAATATTAATCTGCCACGCCAACAGCTGGCAGATTATTTCCATCATCCTGACCATAAAATATTCCATTCCAAATTTTCTACTTCGGGGCTTGATTATAATGAATTGTCTTAAGTGAAGTTGTTTCATTAAAAAGTTTAAAAATATTGACAAATTCTCAGCCACTGTAACAAAAAAAAAGGGGGGGGGAAAACGTCAAGGCTTGCAAGGTGTTGGGCTCCAAAAAGCCAGCTCATGCACCAAGGATGGATTATGATCCTACTGCCAGGGGGCCTCTTAAGCAGATCAAGCTATTCAGCATTCATTTATGCAGAGGGCCTAGTCCAATCCCATGAAGGCTCCAAAGATATTGGTATAAAGTTCATGAGTTCTCACTAGTTTGATTTGGTTGTCTGTGTAGGTTTCCCCATCATGATCTTGATGACCCTTGCCCATAGAATCTTTCTTCTCTCTTTTCAGCTGGACTCCTGGAGCTTGGTCTGATGCTTGGCTGTGGATCTCTGCATTTGTTTCCATCAGTTATTGGATGAAGGCTTTATGATGACAGTTAGGATGTTCACCAATCTGATTACTGGGGTAAGCCAGTTCAAGCATCCTCTCCACTATTGCTAGTAGTCAAAGCTGGCGTCATCCTTATGGATTCCTGTGAACTTCCATAGCAACAGGTTTCTCCCTATCCCCATAATGTCTCCCTCTATCATGGTATTTATTTCATTGCTCTCCCACTCTGTCCTTGTTTCATCTTGACCATTCTGTTCCCTTATGTTCTCATCCCCTATCCTCTACTCTGTATTCGCCCCCCCCCCCGCTCCTCACCCCAAGTTTACTCATAGAGATCTCATCTATTTCCCCTTCCCAGGGCAATGCAATGGTTCCCAGTTAGGGTCCTCCTCGTTAGCTAGCCTCTCTGGAGCTGTGAGTTGTAGTCTGGTTATCCTTTGCTTTACATCCTTTGCTTTACACCACTTATGAGTGAGTACATACCATGTTTGTCTTTCTGAGTCTGGGTTTCTTCACTTGGGATGATATTTTATAGTTCAATGCACTTGCCTGAAATTTTTATGATGTCATTTTTCATTTTTTTTTTTTTTTACTGCTGAGTAGTACTCCATTGTGTATATGTACCACATTTTTCTTTATCCATTCCTCAGTTGAGGGGCATCTAGGCTGTTTCCAGGTTCTGGCTCTTATGAATAATGCTGCCATAAATATAGTTGAACATGTGTCCTTATGATATGATTGAGCATTCCTTGGTTATGTGCCTAAGAGTGGTATAGCTGGGTCTTGAGGTAGACTGATTCCCAACTTTCTGAGAAACCACAATACTGATTTCCAAAGTGGCCTCCCACCAAAATTGGAGGAGTGTTACCCTTGTTCCACAATCTTCCCAACATAAGCTGTTATCAGTATTTTTTATCTTAGCCATTCTGACAGGTATAAGATTGTATCTCAGAGTCATTTTGATTTTCATTTCCCTAATGAGTAAGGATGTTGAGCAATTCCTTAAATGTCTTTCAGCCATTTGAGATTCTTCTGTTGAGAGTTCTCTGTTTAGCTCTGTAGCTCATTTTTTTAATTGGATTGTTTGGCATTTTGATGTGTAGCTTCTTGAATTCTTTGTTTATTTTGGGGATCAGTCCTCTGTCAGATATAGGGTTGATGAAGATCTTTTCACCTTCTATAGGCTGTCCTTTTGTTTTATTTACGTGTCCTTTGCCTTACAGAAGATTTTCAGTTTCAGGAGGTCCCATTTATTGAATGTTGCTCTGAGTGTCTGTGCTATTGGTGTTATATTTAGGAATCTCCTATGCCAATGTGTTCAAGGCTATTACCTACTTTCCCTTATATCAGGTCCAGTGTAACTGGATTGATGTTGAGGTCTTTGATCCACTTGGACTTGAGTTTTGTGCATGGCAATAGATATGGATCTATTTGCAATCTTCTACATGTTGACATCCAGTTATGTTAGCACCATTTGTTAAAAATTCTTTTTTTTTCCATTGTAGAGTTTTGGCTTCTTTGTCAAAAATCAGGTGTTCAGAGGTATGTGGATTAATGCCAGAGTCTTCAATTGGATTCCATTGGTCCACATGTCAGTTTTTATGCAAATACCAAGCTGTTTTTATCACTATAGTTCTATAGTAGAGCTTGAAGTCCTTGACAGTGATGCCCCCAGAAGTTGCTTTATTGTCACCAGTGTCACTAGTCTGCATTCATATATTTTCACATAGCATTGTTTTAGCTATCCTGGGTTTTTTGTTTTTCCATATGAAGTTGAGTATTGTTCTGTCCAGGTCTGTCTTCATCCTTCAGTCCCTATTTACTTATATTATTCTTGAGTTGAACCTTTATTTTTGGAATGATATGAATTTGTTGCACAATCTAGATAAATGTACTTTATTAGATATTTGATTTTCTTTCTATATGCCATCTTTTCAGGTTCTTTATGGTTTAGTTTTGAAATACAAAACAATTCAATTTTGATACTTTTTGGTGTATGTAATGTGTGTATGTATGTGTGCATGGGTGTTTGTATGTGTGTGTCTGTCAGAGAGAGAGAGAGAGAGAGAGAGAGAGAGAGAGAGAGAGAGAGAGAGAGAGAATTGAGATGAGATTTTTGTTCTAAATAAAAAAAAATCCAAGTCCTTAAATATTTACACTTCTACTTTGATTTTTGCCTATGGTAGGAGTTGGGAGTCCATATTTATTATTATGTGTATGTCTACTTATCCTAGCTTCATTTCTCAATTATTTTTCAATAGTTTGTTATTGCTACTGATTTCTTTCAGTTTTAGTGGATGATATATTCATATATCTTTTTGTAGTGGTGTTGGGGACTAAATCCAAAGAGCCATGCATGCTGAATAAGTATTCTACTACTGACCAGTGTTACTAGTCTGTATTCATATATTTTCATACAGTAATTTTATTTTTGTGACCCTTAGGTGTTCTACTGCACGAACATATCAAAATTTATTTACATAATCTATCATTTCAGACATATGGCAAGTGTCTAGCTTGCAATCGTTATGGACCATAAACGTTCTTGAGTTTATGGATTGTTGCATACTTGATCTCTAATTTGAACTCTAGCATTAGCATAGGATTATAAAGATTTTGGTGTACTGATAGAGGAGAAAATTTTGGGAATTCAAGAGGAATATTTGCAATTTAGTTATTAATTTGAATCTTTTCATATTGTAAAGAAGTATCTTATAGCAGCTATACTGTGGAACTATTTTGGGGGAATACATGGCTTTGTGATTCTTATTGCTTGTGATCATAATTTAATTGCAACATTCACCCTTCCATATTCTCCTTTTTAGCCTTCCAATATAACATGCCTGATATCTTTCAAATTCATGATCCCTTTTTTCACTAATTGTTATTGCTTGCATATATGTATATACATATATATTCTTAAGTAAAACTTGTTCGGTCCATATATTACTTGTATATATATTTTCATGGCTGATTGTTTGGCAAATGGCAACCAATTGATGTGCTTTTCCCTGAGGAGGACCATTTTCCTGCTCCAAGATTTACTTGGTTGTTTCACCAACATGACCACCCATATGTGAACTGAACAAGAATGATATCAGTAAACATGCCAAACCAGATGTGGAAATATACACACATTTTTATGACTGAAAAATTAAACATGGAGAGGAGGTGGTAGAGACTTTTATTGTTAGTGTTAGTTCTCATCAAGTAATCTTTAACTCTATTTGCTAATGGCTTGGACATGTGTTTAGGCCCTGGTGGGTAATCAGTATAAGGGACAAACATGCTGACATGTAAATTACACAAATGCTAACATGTAAATCATTATGTGACTTGGTGAGCGTTGCGATTCTTCCAAGATCCCTGTGAATGAATAAGAACAGAATGTCAGTTGACATGAAGTAGTGGGTGGCAGTTTATTTATATAGCACTGCTGCGGGCCGCAGGAATATATCATAAGAACTCAGCTGGTTATGGCAAAGTCACTACCTGGAGGAATCAGGGAATTCCTCCAGAGGAAGCCAAATCCCAAGGAGTTTTTGGTGTTACTTGGCTTGTTATATATCAGCTGTATTCTGTT